GAGATGGACATGTAACAGATCATTCAGTCAATATGACCAAGCAAAACAAGTTCACTTAATAAAGCTAGGAAAATGCAAATCAAGGATGCAGTCGTCAGTTGTTTTTTTTTTCCATCAACCTCTTTGGCTGTGAGCAAAAGGAAAATTAGAATCAAGAATCAGAAAATCGCCCCCTAGTGGTGTGAACCTGCACGCAGTGAGATTTCTGCCATTTGGAGCAGTGGCATCGCTCGTGTGGTCAAAACCTTAGGTGACCGAGTGCCGCCACAAACAGGCGAGCGACCGTAGAAAAATGACCTCATTTGGAAAAAAGAAAAGAGTGAACCCAGAGTGAACTTCTCCTCCAGAAATCTCAGCTAAGCTCCTGCGTCGGAGCAAACAGATTCGGTCGTTTAGCTTTTTCATTCGTCACCATGGTGATCCACACATGTCACTAACACACATGTAAAGAACCTACGGAAGAAAAAAGAAAAGGAAAATGAAAGAGAAAGAAAAAGTTCCTCAATTCCTTCTGACTCCAAGAGTTTTTACCCAGACTTCCTTAAATCGTGGCAACGAGTGAAAGCAACAAACCTGACGGACAGAGGAGAGAGAGAGAGAGATAGAGAGAGAGAGAGAGTAATGGGGGGGGGATCTGGCCTTTGGACTGAACTGCGACTGAGATGACGAGCTTTCTCTCTGTTTTGAGTCTTTTGGCTGTGATGTGATGGGGAAGTCCTGAGACACAGTGCGGCTCTAAGCTGCTGGCATAGGAAACGGGCGGGCTGGGCAGTCCACAGGAGGCCAGAGTCAGGCTGGATTACGACTGGACTGGTTGGGTCGGGTTTGGATTGGCATCTCCCTGGTGGATGGAGGAGGTTCTTACAGTGCAATGGAGCTTCTGGCAGCGTGAGGTTCGGTGAGAGGAGCGCGTCGGCCAAACGCGGGACCGCGCCCTCCGAGGTGAGAGCCGATGCCGCGCAAAATGACCCTTCGTCAGGTTGCACGCGGACACACACATACACACACACATACACATACACACACTTCTGACACTACGATGTCATGGCAGCACCCTGGACACCTACAGAGAAATCTGGAGTCGCTCTCCCTCGACAGAACTCTAACACTCCCGTGGACACAAGAACGAAACCACAAGCGACCCACAGGCAGCAAACCAGGACATGGATGACCAATGTGTGTTCATCTGGAAAGATTCATTCAGAAAGAAAAATCATCAGAGGAAACTACCCTACACATCCGATTGTGTCAGTGACTAGATGTCCCTGTGAAACGAGTGCTTCGCATCGATCATACTCATGTAAACAGACACCTTTTACACAGGAGGAATCAATATTGCATGATGACATAATCAGATCACAGTTCAAAAGGTGGAAGATCCCAAATCAGAGAAAAACCTAAAACCAAAAGAAGGAAGAGGGTTGGTCTCTATATAAAAACGAGGAGTTTTTATAAGAAAGGCTACAAAAACTCAATGGGACCTCCGACTTCAGCATACAGCAAAAGGCACCACAATATTATTCTATTTATCTAACTCGTGAAAAAATTGGCACGTAATTCTCTTTTTTTTTCATCTCTCATAATGCTGTAAATCAAAAAACTTTACATATAAATACCCCCCGTTATAAAAAAAGTCTTTGCTGTTAGCTAGTAGACAATTTTTGCTGAAATGAAAATAAATATTTCATTTGTTTAGAATATCTGTCTGTTATACAAAATAAAAATATTTCTCCTAGGTGCAGGTCTCTAGTCCAATGGTCGTGTGAACGATTAACATTTCAACTAGCTCTAGAAGCACACTACCCTCACTTGCAGTAATTCCACATTGCAAATCCCGGACTGATTACAGTGATAGTAAGAAAAATAGCCAGACTTTTGGGCCAGGAACCCAAATCATGTTTTATATATTTCTAGTATGATTCCCCTGAATCTGTGGGGCTCTGTCATTTTTAAGATACTTTCTATATCTGTGATCCATGCATCTTCTGTGTGACAACAAAAACAAACAAACAAACAAACAAAAAAAAAACCCAAACCAAAAATCAACTCTACGTATTGGAAGTGAACTCTAATAGGGACACCAATTTGTCTGACACAGCATTATTCTCCTCAGCCAGCTGGAAAGCGTCTCTGACCCTGACGTACATCCGAGGCGGACGAGCCTCTGACGCGGTCGGCCTACTCTTAGTGTGCTGCTCGGCGGACTCGTCCGGACGCGACGCCTAAATCCGTCTGCAAGTTGCTTCTGAAGGTTCGATACAGGAGTGAGAAAGACAAAAAGGTGAGGGA